CTCACACATAACACGTACACACGCACTCATGCACACATAACACGTACGTACGCACGCACTCACACATAACACGTACGCACTCACACATAACACGTACACACGCACTCATGCACACATAACACGTACGTACGCACGCACTCACACATAACACGTACGTACGCACACATGCACACATAACACGTACACACGCACTCATGCACACATAACACGTACGCACGCACACATAACACGTACGCACGCACACATGCACACATAACACGTACGCACGCACACATGCACACATAACACGTACGCACGCACACATAACACGTACGCACGCACATATAACACGTACGCACGCACATATAACACGTGCATGCATGCACGCGGGCACACACGTTGCACGCATGCATGCGTGCCGTGCATGCGTGCACGTGTGTCGGGCACACACGTGCATGCATGCACGCGGGCACACACGTGCACGCATGCACGCGGGCACACACGTGCACGCATGCACGCGGGCACACACGTGCACGCATGCACGCGGGTACACACTGTATGAAGCATACCTTCAGCATCGTCTTGTAGAGCAAGTCAATCATTCCAACGAACAACAGATACGGCTTGTAGACGCTAAACGGCTTGAACGATCGATCCAACATCCTCGTGGCGCCACCTGGCGCCGAGTGACGAACCTACAGACGCAGAGCACTGTGTCAGCAACGGCAACGTCACTCTGAGATCAGTGGCGGATCCAAGGGGGGGGGGATTGGGTGGCTAGCCACCCCCTATGTTGGACTAACCTGATTTTTACACATATACCAATTAATTATTGCCAAGTATAATATAGTCGCACGGCTGTACAAAACCACCTGATGCATGGGTTAAATTATATAGTTGAGTGGCAAAGCAGGTTACAACCGTTTTGCAGCTTTTTTCACAGTTCAAAGAAAGAGTTTTGCTGTCGCCTTCATCCCAGCGGTGGTCACCCCCTGCCACCCCTGTACAGAAATCAATGCCGCGCTGAGAGCGCAAGAATTGTTCTACTAAAAAGAGAATTGTAGTCAGAATAAAGGCTGTACATGTACTCAAAAGTGCCTCAAATACCATCTCCTGCGATCTACATTTTCAAAATTTTCTGGGGGAGGACCCTGTGGGGCCCACAAATTTAAAAATCCACCACAAATGTAAAAATAACCACAAATCTAAAAACATTGTACCCGCAAATGTCAAAATAACCACAAATGTCATAACATGTCAACCACAAATGTAAAAATAACCACAAATGTAAAACATTTCGCCCACAAGTGTAAAAATCTGCATAACCCCAAATGTAAAAATTTCCATTTTTACCACAAATGTCAAAACATGTCAACCGCAAATGTAAAAACTCATTGTAAGATAAGTTATTATCAGATGTATGTGTGTGTGTGTGTGTGTGTGTGTGTGTGTGTGTGTGTGTGTGTGTGTGTGTGTGTATGTGTGTGTGTGTGTGTGTGTGTGTGTGTGTGTGTGTGTGTGTGTGTGTGTGTGTATGTGTGTGTGTGTGTGTGTGTGTGTGTGTGTGTGTGTGTGTGTGTGTGTGTGTGTATGTGTGTGTGTGTGTGTGTGTATGTGTGTGTGTGTGTGTGTGTGTGTGTGTGTGTATGTGTGTGTGTGTGTGTGTG